GACAGTTCGTTTACGGCAGCTGTTGAAACCAGTTCACCTCAGTAGTGCGTTGCGAAAAAAACAATGGAAAAAAATATTGAACAAAGAGTTTGCATCAAATTTTGTTTTTCGAACGAAATTTCGTGTGCAGAATCGTTGCGAATGCTACAAAAGGCTTATGGGGAATCAGTTTTATCGAAAACTCAAGTTTATGAGTGGTACAAAGCCTTTCAGGACTGTCGTACGACCGTCGAAGACATGCCGCGTTCTGGACGACCTTCGACCTCTACCACCGACGAAAACATTGAAAAGGCAAAGGAAATCGTGTTCAAAAATCCTCATGTGAGTGTTAGAGAGATAGCACGAGAGCTAGGCATCGGTCGTGAGATGGCTCGTTTGATTTTGGTGGACAATTTGTGTATGCGACGTGTCAACGCCCGGCTTGTTCCGATTCACCTCAATTTGTTCAACATTATCAACGATTTTAAGGCCAAACATTCAATAAATACCATCGAACAGCCACCGTATTCACCTGATCTTGCACCGTGTGACTTTTTCCTGTTTCCCAACCTCAAATTACCACTCAGAGGAACGCGTTTTGAATCCATAGAAGACGTAAAACAGAATTCGCAGAGGGAACTCAAAGCCATACCGGAAAGCGCCTATAAAAATGTTTTGATGATTGGAAGAAACTGTTGGATTTGTGTATCGCTCTAATTGAGCATATTTGAAGGAGATAAAATAAATATTGATGAAGGTTAAGAATTTTGCGTTTTATTTAAAATTTCCCGAAAACTTTTCGGTCACAATGTATGTTCATAAATATTGAATCTTTTTGTGAAACAGCTACAGTTATATTGTTAGTCATATTTATTAATAAATGAGAGTAACTTTTAAGACCACAACTTTAATATCTTTAATATTTATTTATTAAAATTGAAATGATAAAATTTTGTAAGGAAGACCATTCAACGGTAACCCAATTAAATTATATTTCTGCCCATAAACATTAGCTATAGTTATTGAATCGTGTGAGCCAATATAATTATGACCCAATTTTCATCCTGCTGAAAGCGACGCATTACACAATGATCCTTTAATAATTTTCACAATTTTTTTGTATTTTTTTTTTGTTTTAACTGAAAAAAGATTTTTGTTCTTCTTCTTCTCGAAAATCACATATACGCGTTTTTATGAAGATTTTTGTTCTTCTTCTTCTCGAAAATCACATATACGCGTGCAAAAACATTAAAAAAGAGTAAAAATAAGGGACCCGAAGTGCGTGTGGTACATATTGATGGCATACTTATTATTTTCACATCCTTTTTTTTTTCTTTTTAAAAGTAAAAAGATATGGTCAAAAACTACTGAATTATAAAGTCCTTCCTCCTTGTAATTATTTCCTTCATACATATAATGATTTTTTAACTCAGCAATTCGATTGCTCAATAAATGTTAACTATTCATGCTTCACTGATGCTTTTTGTCTTAATTTATTTTATCCTTTTCGAGTATTCTTTTTACTTACAGTGATGATTTATTTTCGGATCAACTTTATATGGATATTGGACTCTCATCACGTTTGCTTAATGTGATGGCCAACTCCACAATATTCGCTTCCGTCATTTCTTACAAAAACTTAAAAAGTTTTCTTCCGAAAACTTACTACACACGTGGAAGGTAAATGAAAAAATATATGCACAAAGCCTTTAATTAAGATATTTAATTATTAAATTATATTATATATGTAATAAGGAAAGTATAAATTAAAATTTTGTTTCGCAAGGATTTTTCATTAAATTTTTTTTTTTATTGCTGTGATTAATTCCAAAAAATATTGTTAAATTAATTTAAAGTCAAACATGAAAAAGAATACACTTTTCAATAAAGAAAGGATAAATAGTAATAAAATGTAACAATAAAAACAATTTTTTTTTAAATTAATTATTTATTAAGTAATATTTACTAAGTAATACCCAAAACAACCGCATTTTCAGCCGGAAAATGCAATTAATTAAAATTAAAAATTTTACTGCTACATTTCATTACTATTAACCACTTTAATAATTAAAAAAATTATTACTTCTGCTAATATTGTTACAAATCCAATTGCGCGTCAACCTAAAAACAATATATATAATATATATACCACAATTTAGCTTCTGAGAAAAAATGTGGACTTTTGAGAAACAAGTTTCAAGTCTGCTGAAATCGAAGCCAATTGGTTTGTAAAAAAAATTAAGTTCCCATCTATTGCAATAATCGAATTGGATTAAATGATACCCTAACATCTACCCTGACAAGCCACCGATGAGTGAGGTGGCATGCGACCTCATTAAAAACTTCTGCTGAAGTTTTCTTCTGTTTAGGGAAGAAAAGAGTAATTGTATTTACAAGGTTTGATTTCAAAATTTAGCTGAGATGGTGACAACTATATTAAAAATTTATGTTAATGAAACCACTTGTTTGAAGTTAGTGAGACGATCGTTTTTTCTGTGCGATAATTTACTAATCCTTGAACTTATATGAAGCTTAAACACTTTTGGAGCAGCAATAATCTCAGTTAAAGTTATAAAGAATACATTCAATATAATAACTAAATATTTGTATAACTTATTCGCTATATCGAATAATTCAACTAATATCAATCCTTCAATTAATATCATTTAAAAATCGTTTTTTGGAAAAAGTTAAGTTCATTTTTTTTAACGCTCTTAATTGATTTCTTATAGACTTCCTTAAGCAGGTCTAATAAAATCAAAATTTAGGTGTAATTAATTATATGTTTTAAGACCAATGATTAGAAACCATAACTGTTCTGTAGTATTTTTGGGGCACATTTTAGGTGTTATTCCATTATAAGATTTTCCTTTGCTTGAATTTCATTAATCGCTTATCAATCTTCTCCATGTACTTTTTGGTCATCCACGATTTCTCTACCCTGTGGATTCAATTCTAATGCTGAATGTGCAATTTCACTAACCGGCTTACGCAATATGTGTCCCAGTCAGCCATATTTCCGCTTCTTTATCTGCTTTTCAACCGGTTGTTGATTTGTAATTTCCCATAGCCGCTTATTGCGTGTGGTTTTCGGCAACCAAATGTTTAGGATCTAGCTAAAGCATCTGTTAACGTCTATCTGCAGTGTATCGCGGTCGTAACAATCCGCTATTTAACGCAGCCATCGAATATCGTAATTTTAGTTTTTAAATGCAACGTTGTTGAACGTCAAATGTTTTTGAGGTTAGTTAAGGCACATATAGCTCTCCGAAGTTTATTGGAAGTACCACCTTCTGTTGTTATAATGCTGCCGAAGTAATCAAACTTTTCGACATTTTCCACGTTCGTATTACTTATTGTGAGCTGGGAAGTGTTAAGCGTGTTGATGCGCATGGATTTTGTCTTAGTAATATTAGTGTTAAGATCCAAGAAGAATTGTCCATATACATACTAAACAATTTACAATTCAATAGTAAATTTTAGCTTCATTGCCAGCATTTTAAAATTTTGGCGATTGTAAAACTATTTACAGTATAAAATGGAGAAGCTTAGACTTAATGTATAATGCCTTGAACGACAGATCTGTTTGGCATATGATACTAAAACAGTACAGCCAAACCAAATGAGTATACTTTCATCATCAACATAAATGGTAGACTCCAGTTAGAGAGAACATGTGTATTATATTCATAATGTTTTTGTTATCAAGTTTTTTGACGTGTCCGATACATACGGCTAATAGTTTGTTAAAATGCATTAGAATTTCAAGACAAACAATAAGCAAACTTAAAAAGATCGCAAGTATATATATTTTTTTGCAGTATATACTAAATCGAAAGCCGACATAAGTTACGTATTCATTACATAGAATAAATACTGATATTATAATTTTTATTTGAGTTTTCGGAGATTTTTTAATTGGATATGAGTTCTATTAGAGGTCTCCCTAATAATAAGTTCTGAATTTTCTATAATAAAAACTAAAAATCTTTACCATTTTCTTAATTTTAATAACCCAATTATTTTGTATTTTCTAATGCAAGTATTTAATTCAAATTAACAACTAATATTTTTCCAACGTTCTATATTAAAAATATTCCAAAACTGCATAAATGATATAGTTATGGATGTATTTGGTATTTATTTTTAGTGTTCTGGAAACCGAAGACCATATTTTTAACAATGCTCCCTATTGCAACTGAATTTCACTCATTAAAGTCACGGCGGAAACGTTTCTAGAGTATTTAATCGATTTGAGGCAAATCACTGAAAAAAACATTACTAAATTGTCAACGTATAGCCTTAAGCTGAATCAACTTAATATATCGATAAGCTGCTTAATTACGTACATGCGTAGTGCGTGAGCGCATCTACGTAACGAATAATTTTATACCATCACATATACGAGTATACTAAGTATGCTTTATAGTATCATACTTTATCCTTTCGCCAACAATTACTAGTTACTAGACTGCAGTGGAAAAATGGTCTTGCAACTGTTGTATGTACAGATACAGATACAGATACAGATACAGATACAGATACAGATACAGATACAGATACAGATACAGATACAGATACAGATACAGATACAGATACAGATACAGATATAGATACTCATACACATACAGATGTGGATACAGATACAGATACTCATACATATACACATACAGATGTAAATACAGGTACAGATACAAATAAGGTTACAGATACAGATACAGATACTCATACACATACAGATGTAGATACAGATACAGATATAGATACTCATACTCATTCAGATGTAGATACAGATACAGATACTTATACATGTACACTTATAGATGTAAATACAGATACAGATACAGATACAGATACAGATACAGATACAGATACAGATACAGATACAGATACAGATACAGATACAGATACAGATACAGATACAGATACAGATACTGTCAGCTGTATATTTGGATGACTTAATTTATGTTTTTAAAATAACTATAACTTTAGTACATAAATCCTAAAACAGCTATTCAAAAGTATATTTTTTAAACATTTGAATAACATATTTCAGCACATTTGCAAACTCGTTGATAACTTCCAATTAAAATTAAAACATATAAGTAATCCGATTTGATACACAATTTATCTTATTTGAATGATAAATGTTTTCTCATAGCAAACACGTACTTATAAAACACCAAGTAAAATATTTTTAATAAGCTGGGCTTTAGAATGAAATACAGAATTTCCTAAAAAGGAATTGAATCGATTTATTTCAGTTTTAAAAATCTTACTACATTTTGCATTTTGTTCTATCAAAAAAATACATTTATACAATATAAAATCGGATATTAACACAAAAATCGGTTCTGGAGTAAAACATTTTTAACACTGTCAACAATTCGCACATGCATACCAGTATTTGTATGAAAAACAGAGAAAGTCATAGAAAGATCAGCCGCTACTAAACAATTGTATTTCTAGTAGTTACCGAGCCATAAAGGCAATCCAGTACGTTTGTATAACTAACATGTGTTCACCGTCGAGTTGTAATACTCGTATACCAGCAATACATGCATGAAAGATAGGAATTACCAACTGCACCGTAAACAGAAAATAAAAATTACATGAATATAATTTACTAAAAGTTTTAATATGACTACACTGTTAAAAATGCCTTTGGTACCATATTTCTCTTAGGACTGTCAATAATTAAGGCTATGTAAGTCTTTCTGGATTAGTTGAAATTATGTGTCCATCAATGAGTTCAACCAGAGCTTTTACTTTGCTTTGTAATCACATTCTCATTTGAAACTGATTTGTTGGTTATTTGTGTAAACATCAGGGTTAAATTTGTTCCATACAGTTTCGAAACCTCTCTACAACATTCTCACTAAAGTATATGCTCTATTTCTCCATCAAGTATGGCATATACAGTAGAATTTAAAAATAGTTTCCTTTTTCTCTGTTGGGTTGCAGATATGATGATGAATATGTTAAAGAAGAAATACCTATTTTGATGGCAGCTTGCTTTTTAGGAGGCTAGAAACCAGTAAAAAGTGCCACCTATCGATAGATACTTTCAGTATTGTTTATCAGTTTGTTTGATTATAATATACTTGCTTGATATTTCAACTAAGCCATAGTATTTTACTTGTTCTTTATGTTTTAAAAAACTTTTCTATCTATAGTCGAGCTGTTTGTTAACAGCTCCTTTAATGATATGGAGTAATGAAAATGCTGGCTCTGCAAGAGTATTTTTTATGGCAGATCATTTGTTTGCAATTCTTCATCTTCTTGGTTTTTTCTGTATTTCGATATCCCAAAATTCGTGTCAGAAAAACATTAACCCATCTCTGACTCCTTTTGCTTTTTTCCATTAAGTAATAAATGGCTAAATGACTAAACTCAGCGATAGAGTTTCAGCTCAACTATCTGTATCAATGTTATTTCTTAATGTGTCTGCCACAATTAGCATCCTAAGTGACTCCGTAATCACACACACTCGTAAAAAGGTTATATTAGACGAGTTGCTTAATCCTTTCGAATGTATATTTGCAACGATAGTGCAGTCCATTTCTTTCTTAAGTGCAAAACTTACTGTCATACAAAGAACTCAAAAAATTAAAATTTCTTCTTTTAAATATTTTAAGTAAAACTTGGGAACCTGTATTTTTTTCTTTGGAATTAGATTAAACAATCCCATATAGATCTTAAAAATATTTTTTCTAAACAAATATAATTTTTTTGATTATTAAAAATAATTTTCATTTGTGCTTAAAGTGATCCAAAAGAAACTGATTACATATTGGCATCGCGTATAATTCAAACCTGGCTTTTTCAATCCAATCGTTCGAATGACAACTTTCGTGAACCGCTCGACTTGCCTTTTGAAAGTGGACATGTGGAAATAATATTTCAACATGAGAGTGTACCCAAGGATAGTGACTGGATGGCAGTATGCGGGTAAGTATACTGAAACTTAAACCATTATAAAACGGTAACTTAAATTTAATAAATATTCTGCGTAAAGAAAGCAAAAAGTTTTCATATTAAATGTTGACTTTTAAATCATACTCTACACCCAGGGCAATAGTTTAAAATAATTGACGGACTCTAAAATACTCAAATGCAGTGAATAAAAATTTTGTGTTGTTTCTTGAACTGTCATGCAGTACATCTGAAATTGTTAATATCTGTCCGTTTTTCTATCTAATGATAATAAAATAAACATCTAAAATGAATTCCGTCAGTTATTTAATGGAAGTGCATAAAAATGTAAGGAGCAACTTCGTGCCAAGAAGCTTGAAATTCGGATTTAAATCTGCATCGACAGAAATGTTAAGAATGTGACCTCTAACAATAAAATTTTTCGAAAATCAACCGAACTTAAACTTCCCTCACAGATCTATTTTGTGACATTTAATAAAACCTCGTTGTTTTAATTATTTGCACATAAACAGAAAGTCATTTGATGTCCGTTTTTTTGCTGTCCTTTTTTGTCGAAAGGTGTAGGGTATCAAAGCTTCGTCCAGGCCGAAGAATACACACTATATTGTATTGTTTCTAACTTACATACATTTGTGCATACTTCTATCTATTACATAGATTTGAAAAGTACATTTTTCTAAAGTAAAATCGGTTCATGGAAAATCCGATGTGGAAAATTGTTCCTCGATAATCGAAAAATTAATTCGATTTCAAGCACATTTCGAACCATAAACATTGCCAGGTTATTGTGTTTAGGTGAGTTTGTAGCATATAGAGTTTTAAATAATCTTGAATATGTATATTTCCATATACATGTACATTGCACATTTCAAATATAAGCATCTTTATTTTAGTTTATATATAATTAAGAGAATTATTTTATATCTGAAGAAGCTAATTAATATATGTCTTATATAGTACTTGTTTAGTTATTATGTTTAGTTAGTTATGTGAGTTATTATGTCAACTAAATTTAAGCTTAGTGGACTTTAACTCCTAAATTAATTGCTTAATATGAAAATGTTTTCTTGATTATAATATTTTTTATTCTTTATTAGACATGATTACAAGGCATCCTTTGAGTCCACTTGGCGATCAGACCTATGCATAACTAAAAATCTGATGGAAAATATAACCCGTTGCATATGTCCTCTTTCAGGCACCTATGTTGTGATGTTGACCAAGAGGAACTCGAATGTAAGTAGCTTCCATACTAAAACCAAAATCCATTCTATTATATTTTAAATCATTTTTCCAATATTTTTATTAGTCAATAAAGATGACCTCTAAAATCTTTAATTTGCACAAAATAACTAAAAATTAATACAATAATTATTAGGGCAACTAAAATTATAGTAACCAATTTATGTTTACTTTGTTATTTTATTATTTTTCAAAGTATTTTTATTTCCTCAAATACTGGGAGCAAATAGCATGAAGGACGCTTGTGGAACACTGTGTAGAAAGTGGCAACTTTTTCGCCAACTCTACTTAAATATATTGTTTTAATGTTTATTTCCGCTTCTCTGACTCTCAATGAAAGCAAAGCGCCATTGTTTATTGAAAATGCTTCCCAAATCAGCCGCTATACTGTGAGTATTCCAATGTTCCAAATACTTTATCAACAACGAGGAAAATGAAATCGGAGGAACAGAAAAAAACAAAAATAACATAAAGAGTGGAAATTCTAAAGTTCAAGGCTAAGATTTTAATTGAATTTCTGGTGTAGGCCGCAACGGTTGGAAAACAAAACTCAATGATTCCTCTGAGCTACAGTATTTTAGGAATAAGAATGGAGGGAAAAAATAAATAAAATTCATTTAATATTTTTTATTAGTTTAATAAAATATTTTAGAATTGTTTATAACTTTTTTTTTATTTTATCTCTTCCTCTGCACTGTTGCTTCATCCAGTCGTCTCAGCCTAATATGCCGCACAGTCCATTATTTGTTATCATTAGCTGTGCTTGCTGTTTGCTACAGTCGTGCTCGGCATTTATTATTCTACTCCCGATTTGGTTCAACAGGAAATGCGCCATTACATTTCTGAAAATGCAGTTCTGTGTCTCAACTTCCAGTATAATGGTTATCTTCTTATTGGGATTTCTGAAAATGCTACCTGTGGTAAGTACGAAATTACTTCAAATTATTAGTATTTTAATTTTAAGTAGCTTAAGAAAAGAACAATAACATTGGAAATGGTTATTGCACATATATAGAGCAAAATATATCGGTAAAAAAAATTCTATAAGACTTACTCTCTAAAAGTTGTATTGAACTATATCTCAGTTATGTTATTGTATAAGGAAATGTTCTGGAACTAAATTTTAAGTAGATACTATGTTAATAGTAAAATGAATCTTTTGCTTATCATACAACTTTTTTTAAGCGGTTTAAATCTATCATAGTCAACCATACCGCTTACTAGCGAGCATTTCAGCTTTCATGTTAGAAATAGTAGTTCTACAGTTTCAAAGTTGTGACAGTATCCCTATATTACTTCAAAAAGCAATATATACGTATTTCATATGTCATTTCATTAGTTAAGTAAATTTTGTTTTAGTTTTTCAATATAAACTAGCGCAATTTGGACTAAAAATTTTATTTCAATACATTATTATTAAGTTCTTAAGTGTAATTAAGTGTAATTTAACGAAATTGCTCCTAAGCACTTTCCTATTTCCTATTAAATTAATATCTATGACGGATAATGTAACTGCGTGGGTATTGACAGAATCAGTAACCAAATAAACAAACTTAAGTTAGTTTTCGAAAAAAGTAATTGAAGACATATTATAAATAATAAACTCTTGCAACTTGCCAACAAGACCTAATTAACCTAAAATATGGTGAAAACTATAAAGTCGTCAATGGCAAACCAGTCCACATATTAGCTACCTTATATCTAAATAAATGGAGAATGATTTTCAATTAATTGACACCCTATATGAGTAGGAAACTTAATGTCTTGCAGAATCAATGCTGTGAGTCAAATAAAGACTAAATAAAATAGTCGGCATATAATTTTTTTTTTAGCTTAATTAATTGAAGGTAAATGGTTTTAGTCTAAATGGTTTTATGTATCGGAAATATAAATAAAAAAGAGATTTCAATTAAGTTGTTGTATGTATTACTCCTTCAATGTAAGTTACTGTAGATTTGTAGATTATGAAGATTATTCCTTCCAAAGTAAACGGAAGGAATAAAAAGGTTGACTGCCACTGATATTCATTCACTGCATACAATTCCCAGACTGCAAGTGCAGATTCTTGAATTTTTAAAAGTCTTATTAGGTAAACATAAAACCAATTAATTTTTAAGCTTAATCATTTGAATTGTGTGGTTCTCAAAGTTTTCAATATTAAATATGCAGAGGCAACTAGTCCTCATCATAATAAATGTAATAATTATTTTAGTAGCAATAATTCAAAGTTTCACTGTGATATTTCATGTCACTTTTTTTACATTTTTCTAAGATATATTTTTTGTCACTATTCACTATTTTAGCAACAATCATATCAACCATTAAAAATATATAAACTGCTATTTGTTTGTTTCACACCTCAAAGAATTCATGCTCATTCCGAGTAAAAGCTGCTGTTTTTCGTACAATTTTGATCGTTCAACCAAGTCTACGGTTCTGATACTTGTACTTCTTAACATAGATGCTTCGTATCCTTACGTTGGAACTAGCCTTACGATAGTCTGATTTTCATTTTCAAGCTACAGTCAAATAAGCATGTTCTCAGAAATTGAAAGCTTGTGAAACAGTTATTCTGTCAATGTGAATACTATCTTCGAATACATGAGTTTATCTTTTAATTTTTGAAATAAATAAACTAGTTGCATCAAGCCTGCAATTAAATAAAATTAGTTTATTATGTCGTAAGCAGCGATAAATTTAAGTTACCATCCACAGTGAGGCTATGTTAAAATTACTTCCGAGCTGAGAGGATGTCGCTTACGATGAATATCTACTCAGATTCACTTATTGAATACTTTAAACACTGTTTTCCGCTGTGGAAAACAGTAATTTTCTGTAATATTATTTAAAAGAGATTGAGCTGCTGTAAGTTTCGGTGTTCCAGTTTTTGAAACTAACATCTAGTGAACGCTGTAGAAGATTTATATTCAAAGCTGTGAATGCATTTTTGAGTTATTGCATGCATATATGAAAATACAATATATGAGTTGAATTTAACATAAAACATAAAACAGAATATGAGAACATCTAAATAAAAATGTAGTAAGTAAAAAGTAAATAATTGATTTATAATAAAACAAGCTATGTGAAGGTAGCAAACACACTTTAGAACTGGGAATCTATTTTTCATTACTTAATTTGAATGTAGATTAGGTCAGGTTGGAGTAACAGCCTTGTGCACCAAAACAATTTGCACATAACTATTTAAAAATTAAAGAACCGTGTTTTTTAATAAAATTTTAGATATTTTAAAATAAAAATAAAAAATATATATAATATTTTAAATTTCTTCTTCACTCACTTCTGATATATAGTACCAAGTTAAAAAGTAAAAATATTTTACATTAAAAATTTAGTTGTAATAATAAAAAGCAGTTTAAAAATAGTTTTTAAATTTAAAAAAACATCAAAGCAATTAATTAAAGTTTATACTATAATTGAGACTTCATGTTTTAGTACTTACTTACTAGTACTATTACAATTGCCATGGGTTGAATGTTGTGACAGTAACTCTAATATTACTTCGAAAAGTAAAATATTCCAAATTTGATCTAATTATTTCAGTAAATTTTGGTTTGGATTTCTGAGTACTTATTAAGCAGCGCGTTTTGGACTAAAAATTTGATTGCAACATATTATTAAGAGATCCTTATAATAGATAGACATTCGTGGTCCTAACTTTCAGCGCCCACAGCAGTAATTTAGTAAAATTTCTCGCTATTCAAACAAACTCAATGAGCAGTTTTATATTTAATTTACAAAATTTCACCAGCTTTCACACTTGATTTTAACTAAATAATGTAAAATAAATTTTTAACTGTTTGAAGCTCAACTTTACACATGCGTTGTACCCAAAGGATGCCGATGCCGAACTTATTTTGGGTTTTCGAAAATGTTGAAAAAGTCACTTCCCTCTCATTTGGGTGTGCGCCAATTAGTGCTGGCACAGATTCCTAACTACTTGAATTGCAGTAGTCTATGGGCAAGTCTATGGGCCAACATACAAATCCAGTCCTTTTCCGATGCCGTTGCCACCATAAACTTAGATAATCATACAAATTGAAACACATTTGCCATTTCGCCGTTTTCCGTCATTTGCTGCCATTTGCTACCATTTGTGCTATTTCCAATTATAAATGTGCAAATTTAATAAGCGGTGCATGCAAACTTCAGCTGCAGCTGCATTTTGGCATAATGATGGTTCTGTCACCAACATAGGCGACGACTGAGACTGGACGAGTGCAGGAGAGTTCTAGAGCAACTGCAACTGATTTGGTTGTTTATGATACTGTCGTTGCTGCACCAGTTGTACCAACTGCTGGACTTGTCCAAACTGTTGTTGGTGCATGTTACGTCGTCGTGGCATTGCATAACGTCCCTGCAAATAATTTCATTACAATACTTATGAATGTGTTTCATTAATTTCCACTAGTGAAACAGTCAGATTTGGTTAGTTAAGTGGACATCAATGGCAATACATCACATCACACTTCCACACAATCAACCAAAGCAAAGCCAACAATGTTAAATCTGCTTTGGTATATTTTACATGTAATATTTGTAATTTTTTTTCAAGTTTTTTAAAAAATATTTTTGTATGTTATTTTAAGCTTAAACGCGATTTAAATTTAAGTTATTCTATTCGATTTCTTAACCACATTAAAACATATTGCGTCAGATTATAAAGCTTTTTTGGTCAAAGAATTATTTTATTAAAAGAAATAATAAAAAGAAACTGGTAAAACCGTATCAATCAACATATATACTTAAGCATAGTTAGTCCCTAAAATGGGTAACGCATTTACGCCTTCGTAGAAGCCAACTAATGTGCTTTGATTTAATACATACAAAACTAGGTCTTTAGTATGGCATGAATGCAGTTTAATCGTGAAATTGAAACTATTCACGAAATCCATCATTCGACCCTACCTAAGGAAGCAATTATTTCGTATTTATCAAAGCTTGTAGTCTCTCCACTTACCGTAGAATGTACAGAGGATGTAACCATACAATTGAATAGTCAAGTAGTCATTCCTCATATGATTAACTCCAAGTGAATATAAGATTATCAACAAAAGTTAAAAGAGATAAGCAGAGAAAATGAATCCGCCTGAATTCCTGCACTTTCAGGAATTCAGGAATTTCAGGAATTACTAGGAAATTATTAAGAAAAAAAAGTTTGCAGAAGAAGTATAGTTGCGAATGCTTGACACCATTGAAGGTAAAAGAAACATAAAGAGACACGAACTTTTTGTAGGTCTCATAGATTTCAGATGAACAAGTTAATATTAATATTAGCCAAAAGATTTAAATATTCTGTTGGTCGCATTAAGAAGGCTGATCAAGTTACTAACTGCTCACTGTAGGATTATGAATACCTAAACAGCATACATATTACATTCAATCTCTATCCCGAACTTCGTCACCAGAGCACTTACTGATACAGAAATGATAAACGTACATAAAGTCACGCCAGGTAATATAATAAGTATGCGAGATTCAGTCGACATTTTTGAATTTTTTTTGGCAACGACACTGGATGAGATTTTATAGAATTTTTTTGTTTTCCAAGTCATTATATACTTTTGCCCAGCAATTTCACATACATCTATATAATCACTAATTAATGCTAATGCCTGAGTTCGATATAGGTACGGACAATAAGTACTACGACTAGAATATCTATGTTGCAAAAAATAATGCTTTCTTTTTGATGAGTTCATTCCAATACCTAATATTTCATTATCTTTAAAGCTTTTCTTTAGTGATATACGACGAAGCTATACTTATTCTATATTTTTAAAAATTTCTTTAAAGTACGCAATTATTATACTTCAATGACCTAATTTGCTGATGGGCTGCCAGTATCCAACTAACATGCCACAGTTCAATAATGATCCCATAAAATTATCCTAAGCAG